TGCGAGCCAACGTTTGTTGTTTGGTCTGGTTTGGTTCAAGGCGGTTCAGGGTACGGTTTGGTTCAAGGTGGTCTTGTCCGTTTTAAGGGTTCATGGGACTTTCAAAATCCCCATCTCCATTCCCTCCTCTCTTTTTTATCGTCTCAGAGTTCCTCTCAATTCAAAACTCTCCTCCCAATTGAATTTTTCTTCTCCAAGAATTCTAATCTCTCCCTCCTTTAAATCCCTCAACTTCTTACTTTCAACCGGCGCACTCCACCTTAAGCTCTAGGGTTTCAGTGAACTTGTGCCTTGGATTCGAACATCTGCCGTTAGTTCAAGCTCTCTGTGTACCGCCTTCTTCCTCGTTGGTCGCTTCAAGTAAGAACCGAGCTCTCTTGCCCCAATTTCGTTCAATCGTTTGGATTTTTTTTTGGGGATATTTGAAACCCTAGTTCCCAAATTTAGGGGGGAAAACGAAATTTTGGCTTGATTCTTTGGGGTTCGGCTTGGCCATGATTCTGGAAATTTCTTGTCGATTTTGCTAAACTTTTATTCTCTTCTTTGAACTTGGCAGGAACTTGAGGTTGCTTTCTTCGTTATTGAAGATTTTCGTGCTTCTCCCCACATCCTAACTCCCTTCTCAAGGTTAGCTTAATCTTCTTCTTCTTCTTAATCTTCTTAAGAACTGAGGCTTGATTGTAAGCAAGAATTTGGGAAATCACCAAATCTCTGGTTCTTGTGTTGACGAAGAAATCATGCCCTTATTTTAGTTTTGTATGAATGCCCATTGTTCTTATTCCTGTCTAGTGCTTGTGATGATAATCTTTTATTCTCTTCTTTGAACCGAGCTAATTCTTCAGCCTTAATTCCCACGTAATTTTGTACGTTGAGTTGATTTCTTCTCTTGACTGTCGCCTTGGCTTCATTAGCTTTGAGGTTTGACTTTGATTGTTGAAAACTTCTTTGTACACAACATTCTCTGTTACATTGTTATCTATTCCATCTTCATTTTCAATGAGGATTTTAAGTCCCAGTAACTCGAGAAATTGCTACATATAACTGGCCATGTGTAAAACATGGTTTTGGAAGATACAATCCAACATGCTTTAGAGTTTGCCCTTGACTTTTATTAATGTCATTGCAAAACATGTTCTCACTGGTAATTGTCTTCTTTTCATATGAAATTGCCACTTGGAATCAGTATTGGTCATATCTGTCCTGGATATAAAATGCTTTGTCCCAATATTACTTCCACTAATTATTCTAGCTTCTATTATCCATTTAAGAAGTTGTGTGATAACTAATCTCGTACCATTGCAAAGACCATTGATAACTAATCTCGTACCATTGCAAAGACCATCTGCCGGGCTAAGATTACGTAAAAGCATGATAGGAGTACCAACTTTAAGTTTAATTTCATGATTTGGCATCCCAGGGAATTTCTGTGAATTTAGAAATTCTGTTGGATATAATATTTCATTGCTTGCAAGATTTGGCGAGGTGTGACAAAGAGAATCAGAACTTAGATATGTAACGTACTCTCCTGGTATGATGTCAAGAATTTCACTGTTAATGATGTCAACAACTTCATTCATTGCTGTTAGTATAGCTCTTTCCTCTAAATACTCTTCATTTGAGTAATTCTGCATCAATCTAGTATATGTAGACAATATAACCTCATCAATCGGATTATTATTCGCATGAATTATAAAATTATCTGGTATCTCAACTAACAAATCTTGATCATGAAATACATTTTTCTTACACGTGTTATCTCCATTTCCAATATCAAGTACCCACTTACTAAAGTCAGAGGTAGACATTGTATTACTTTCACTCACTTGTGTTTGCAATCTCATATTCTTAGTAAGTGTTAAAACTTTACAGTCCCTCCATAAATATGAACAACTGATTGAAGCATGTAAGATATCATGTTTAGATCCCTTTGGAATAACTGGAAGTATTTGTCTGAAGTCGCCCCCAAGCACAAATGTCTTTCCACCGAAAGGTTTGTTTACATTTTCAGAACATTCTGCTCCTAATATATCTTTGAATGTTCTATCGACAACTTCAAAAGCATGTTTGTGGACCATTGGAGCCTCATCCCAGATTATAAGACTTGTCATCTTGATTAATTCAGCTTCAGGACTACCTATTTTTATTCCACAAGTCGAATTATTTTTCAGAATGATTGGAATATTAAATCTAGAATGTGATGTCCTGCCTTTAGGAAGTAATATTGATGCTATTCCTGATGATGCAACTGTCAATGCAATTTTTTCTTTTGATCTTAATTTAGAAATAATTGATTTCCAAAGATAAGTTTTTCCAGTTCCTCCATGACATATATGAAAAATAATCCTCCCTGTTCTTTATATACAGATCCAAGTATAGTGTCTTATATTATCTTTTGATCAGTGTTCGTTCCTTGAAGAAACTTCTCATTTTCACATCTTAACTCATCCCTGTTAAAATTTAATTCTTCACTAATAATCTTGTGCTTGCATTGTTGGTAAATGCATCCTGTTGAATTTTTTTAAGTTTCTTCCATTTTCAAGCAATAAATATTGAATTTCAGCTAAAGTATGACTTTGAAGTTCATGTTCTGACATTGTTAAGGTAGGCATGTCAAGAATATTTCTCTGATCTTCCAATATACCTTCAGCCATATACTTCCAGTTCTTTTCCCATAGTATTTGTGGATTCACACCTTCAAAAAACAATAATAATTTGGCAAACAATTGCCTAAATTATTTTCCAAAAGCAACATAAGAAGCCTCATCCAAAACATATTGCCATTCTTGGTCATCATTTAATAATCGTCAAACTTGACATGCTTCTTTGAATGTTGGATAAACTATTCCATCTTTAGTTTTAATGTCACCAAAGGATGTAGGACCTTTTACAACATTAAGAATCAACCTGAGATAAAATCTCTCCCCTGAAGTTGGATGAGAATAAACAAGTCTGCCAATACTACGACCTTTTTTCCTAATTTTCCATCGTTTCTCATCAGCTAACCAAACAAAATGTGTAGGAAATTCTGAGTATGTGAGTGTTTTACTTTCATCATACAACTTGTTTGCTTCCATCCAGCTACTAAATTTTGATTTCTTTGCATTAATATTATCAATAATTTCATTAAGATCATCTGAGTCTTTGAAAATCATTGACTGTTGATCAGGAAGGTGAAATGGGAGCCTCTCCACAGCAGGAATTCTGTAATGTATATCAAATTCGTAGATTCTCCAAATTACTTCTGGTGCTGAGATGTGTCGACAATCCAAATAATATTGTATCTCATCAGTCTTTTCATGGTTATTTAAACCGCTTGAACTTGATTTATGTGACCGTAGAGATATGGAAGCATGATCAGGTCCCTTAGTTATATACTTAAAGAGATATTTTATTGACCTACCTCGATTACACCATTCGACATTAATGTGGGATTGATATTTAACAATAATGTTCCGATTATAAGGTACGACGTAAGCATTGTCCAACTTTGTACCATTTTTATCTACCCATCTATTATTAGCATTCCTTCGCCGGTATACAGCAAAACTTGACTCATCAATTACAGTCTCATTGACATACTTCTTTGGAAAGTGTTTTGAGCAATTTCCCTTTCTCATACATGGGGAGCTTGTAGTAAATATGCCACAGGGACCGTGCATCATATATTGTCCAATTGCTGCATATCCTACTGGATCTGTTCTCTATCAGGAATCTCAGTGCTGATTATCTTATTAATAGCATCAGAATCTGCATATTTGCTATTAGGATCGAACCATAGCAAGATATGTGCATGTGGCAATCCCCTTTTCTGAAATTCAATAGTATATACAGCTGCGTATATTAAGCCAAACCCTAATAAGACCAATGTCATGTCTGGAAATATAACTTCATATATACACACACACACATATGTATATTTATATTAATATGTAGTTATTAAATAAAATATGCATTTACTTATCAGGTTTGGTATGTTATATCTTATATAACAGTTTGCTATACTTTATAACCTTCCTCAACTTGTTTATTCTCGTATTTCATATGTAGTTAATAGTAAATGTTTATTTTGTTTGTTATTACTTGTATTGTTGCACATCTGGATCCTAAATAATTTTCAACTTCCATTTTTCATTCTATGTGTACCATCTTGTATGATATGATTTAGTGATAGTGGATTTCCATAATCAATCTATCTTGATTCTCTCAATAAAACGTACTATATTCCATTGCAAATATGAATTGACTTTCTTTGTACTTCAGATGGATTTGCTTATAGTCAGGTTTGAGAATTTGTTTTTACCTCACTAATTTGGTGTTAAAATTAATTGAATTTTTTGTTTTGAAAGTTAATGTATCAAAAGTTATAAATTAGAAAGTTGATGTATCATAAGTTATACTTAGCCATATGAGTTTCCTTTTACAAATCTATTAGCATTTTTTTACCTGATGTAATATGTAATCTAGTATATCTGTGTTGTATTTAGTTATCATATTTATTCAGTTTTCAAATTTGTTATTTTATCAATTGTTTTGCACCTATATGCTTTTCTAATGTTTTATATTGATTCATAAATTTGAGTTCCGTTTAAAAATTGGACACAGTTTATTCTTAAACATTGTGATTTTGATTGTCATTCATACACTTTTATATTGTTTCATTTTCTACTTTATTTATCTTTACATATTTTTATATTTGTATTTATGAGTATAAGCTAAAAATACATATATATACATACCAGCAATGCTATTCCCAAAATATTGACCAGCTTGCAAGTCTTCCATCAATAGATCAAGCTTTATTTTAAAAACCCTTGCAACTATATCTAGTCTTTGCCCCTATCTCGTCCAATGCATATTTAATATCTTGCCATTTGGGAGTTGAAGTAATTGTGATGAACAAATCCGGATTTCCTAAAACACGACACAAAGCAATTACATCTTGATAATTTTGAGTCATATATTGATTACCTCCAGTAAACGATGAAGGTAAGATAATTCTCTTCCCAACTTGTGCTTCATCTGTATCACCTCTGAATATTGCATCTTTAATGCCACAATATAGCTCCGCTTTAAGTTTTGTTTGATTTAGTCTGACCCAAAGCAATCTATCTTCTTCAATACATGTAAACATATCTACAATGGAAGTCTGTAATAGTTTACCTGAAAGAATCAATGTATGCCCTTCGTCACACCTTTGTTGGAACCTAAATGCGGCATATTCCATCATTGTGACATCTTTTCTCTTCAAATTTGAATTATTAGACTCCTTCCAATGGAACGCCAAGTCGAAATCCATCTTCACCATAAGGGAATAGTAAAGGATATTGCATGACCATAAAACTTGGGTAAAGATCACTAATTCTAGACAACCCCATTTTGCGGTCATAAGCAACAATATCCCGCACTGCTATTGTTTCATCAATGTTTCCCACAATTAAACCTGCAATCTCTGACACAGTTGGCATATTCTGCAATCTTCCATCACCGCTGCGTGATTATTTAATTATCAATTGTACTGTCAGTAACTCATTTTCCTTGACTCGGTCTCTCACCATACGAAAACTTTGAACCAACACATTGCAATGATCTAACATTTTAAGTAGATTGCTTACAATAGCATCATCTAATTCAGCACTACCATTAATTGCTGCCATTCAGTTAGATAGCTCGTGATCAGTATCATATATGTAAAGTTGACAATATTTTGGAATTTCCCATGGTATAGGTTTTAAGGAACCTATCTTATGATGATTTTGACCATTCAAGCGATAACAATAAGGACCCTCTCCATTATTATAAGTATTATCAACTCTTCCTCCAGTCGAGGTGAATGAAAACAAAGAGTTGTATATCCTTATATTTTGTTTGAATTTTATAGACCGTGCTCCTCCAAATGGTGATAAGAGTTGTTTAAGGAATTTTGGCGATTGATGAAGAAGCGGGAATTTTACTTTCCCTTTACGACAACATAATGAGAATGTTGGATTCTTAGGTTTCTTAGACTTTTCAGCTCTTTCGTCATACCAAAGCATTGCCTTACAATGAGGACAAGTGAATTTGGGAGGCCCGGCGTTGAGAATGTCGTTAAATATTCCTTCAGAAAAAATATCTCTCATTACTATATATTATAAGTAATACATAGTGATTTAATAATACGATGATTGCAGTCATACCTTCATTTGGAAATATACGTTTTACACGTTTAGATTTGTATGATGTATGGGACGATGAACAACTGCTGGCTAGGTTCGAGGAAGTTTTGCCTATAATCGTATTTTGATACATGTTATTCACCATTTGAGAATTACTTTCATACACATTTTGTCATTGTCGTTGTCTTTTAGAGTGTCTATCTGTTAAAAAAATAATATTCATAAATGTATATATCTATCCACCCCTCCGCATACACACAAACACACACATTAACACGCACATAATTTATTGACGCATCAAATGAGTTCTCATCACAAACCTATAAAACGTTGTTCAACTTCTTGTGTCAACATAGCTTCAGCAACATAAGAACCTAGAGCAGATGTTTGTGTAGGCGTCATGCCACAATTTAATTGTGTATATCCAGTTCCAGATGTGTTACAAATAAGGTTAACATCCTCAGCAGATGACTGAGTGATAGATGTGCATTGTCTTCTATTGCATACACCTAACATTGCATCGATTATGACTTCTGGACAATTAGTATTCTGGTCCTCATCATTGCTCTCCATTATCCTGAAACCGAGTTCTAAGTGCACGTGAATGTGTGTATGTATATATAAGAACATATACGCATATCAATAGACAACATCTTACTTATAAAGCTCTATGGACAATAATAAGATCAAAACCCTCATCATAAATTTACTTGGAGATAAGTTACAGTAAAATAGATAAGCATATTTAATATGTATAGATACTATGATTACTCAGTGTTACAAATGCTAAAACTATAACAGAAATGGATAATCATAATCCAAGCATCTATGTACAAAACAAAAACTTATCTCAATATATATAAATTAAACAAATATCAACCAAGTAGATTCCAATTCAACACAGATGTACATAGAAAAGAGAGACGTAATTCAGTTTTTAAAGCTCATTGTAGCAACTTAATTCAACACGATAGGTAAAAAAGAATATGAATTTGCTAATACTTACAATGATGATCTCCTCTTCAACACGATAGGTAAAAAAGAATATGAATTTGCTAATACTTACAATGATGATCTCCTCTCGGACACTGAGATATTAATGAGTGTTTGAAAACAATGAATTTGCTAATACTTACAATGATGATCTCCTCTCGGACACTGAGATATTAATGAGTGTTTGAAAACACGATGTTGCTCTGCAGAATAGATAAAACTAAAGGCAATTAGTTTATATCAAATGAGATTATCCCATTTTCTCTAAAGTGCACTTCAAAATTACAGTAATCATCAAGTATAAGTTATATTTCAATATTCTAAATTTTTTATTTATAATATAAGTTTAAATTTCCAAGAAAAGTTCAAAGAACTTTGTTTGAATCCAATTTTATTGATATGGGATAAATTTTAGTATCAAGTGTCAGTTCCGTGATAAGATAGCTTGTTATCTTTATTTACTATCAATTGTTGACTTACAACATTGTTTGAATCTCATTTATGGATGTAAAATAATAAGAATGATATTGAAGTCAGTATACAACATATGTTTTGAATATAATGCAAGGATATTAAAGCAGTCTATTAGAAGTGATGAGCAATTAGATATAGAAATTTAAGTGTTTAGTATGATCATTAGCGAAATACTTATTTGTATGTAAATAACAAAGAATGTATGCCATCACTTTTAAAATCAAGGTGGAAGATTTAAGGTGATACATAGTGTGGATGCATGTATCGGTTGTGACTCCTGAAAAAGGATGCCTGTGCATGTGTGCATGCCCAACAGACTTCCTAATGAGAGATTCTGACTATTGGGGATTCAGCATTTCAGCAAAATTAATAGGGACGTGCATGTTGTAATTGTCCAGTAGTTGTACCCAAATGAGATGAGCTTTTCTCACACTGACAATTCATGGTTTCAAGTTCAAAAAAACAATGCAAATAGTATTATTGATTGGTGTTGGTCTTTTTTCATTGTATATCTCTTTTGATGAGATAATTTATGTACAAAAGTTACATATACTGGTGAGTGAATTAAAGTGATTCAATGACCAGAAAAGTTTCATTAAAATAGATAGAGCATATTTCATTCCTACAATATAAGTTTAAACAACATTGTTTGAATCCCATGTTATTGATATGTTACAATTTGAGTATCAAGTGTCAACAGCTAGTCCCATTTATTGATATGTTACAATTTCAGTATCAAGTGTCAGTTGTTAGATTAGATAGGTTGTGGTCTTTATTTACTCTCAATTAATGATTTACAACATTGTTTGAATCTCTTCACTGCATGTAAAATAAGAAGAATGATATTGTCGTCAACAGTATAAAACAAATGGTGTTAATGCAATGAAAGGATGTTCAATGAAAATATTAGAAGTGCTGAGCAATCTGTTAAAGAAATTAAAGTTGATACTATTCTCATTAGCCTAAATACTTATTTGTATGTATATAACAAAGACTGTATTCTATTGCTATAAAAATCAAGGTGGAAGATTTTGATGAGGCATAGTGTGGATTCATGTAGATGTTCTGCCTCCTGAATATGGGCCTGTGCATGTGTGAATGCCCAACAAACTGTCATATGAGAGTATCTGGCGGCTGGGGACGTAATATTTCAGCTAAAAGATATGGGATGTGCATGTTGTGCATTTTCCAATATAAGTTTAAACAACATTTTTTGAATCCCATGTTATTGATATGTTACAATTTGAGTATCAAGTATCAACAGTTATATTTTTATTGATATGTTACAATTTCAATATCAAGTGTCAGTTGTTAGATTAGATAGCTTGTGGTCTTTATTTACTCTCAATTAATGATTTACAACATTGTTTGAATCTCATTATTGGGTGTAAAATAAGTAGAATGATATTGTCATCAACAGTATACAACAAATGGTGTTAATGCTATGAAAGGATGTTCAATGAAAATATTAGAAGTGCTGAGCAATCTGTTAAAGAAATTAAAGTTGATACTATTCTCATTAGTCTAAATACTTCGCGTTATGTATATAACAAAGACTGTATTCTATTGCTGTAAAATTGTAGGTGGTAGATTTTGGAGAGGCATAGTGTGGATTCAGGTAGATGTTCTGCCTCCTTAATATGGGCATGTGCATGTGTGCATGCCCAGCAAACTGTCATATGAGAGTATCTGATGACTGGGGATGTAATATTTCAGCAAAAATAAATGGGATGTGCATGTTGTGCATGTTCAATAGTTTTACCCTGGAGATTGGCTTTTCTCGGGCTAACAATTCATGGTTTCAAGTTCAAAAAAAGCAAGGAAAATACGATTATCCCCTAGTGTTAGTCCTTATAATCCAGTATTTATTGACATGAAAATGAAAATATTTTGGAATTTAATGTATAGAAAATAGATAAATATAAATATAATTAAATCTTATCAATCACTCAATGAACATGAAATGGAATTGAATGTGCAAATGTTTGGAACTCAATTTTTGGCAGAATATGAAATTAATAGTTCAGAACTCAACGAAATCTTGAACTATCAGGCGTAATAGGAACTTGAAGATGAGCTCAAACAAATACTATTACTGAGTCTTAAATTTCTAGTCTAAGCAAGAACCTGTATAAATTAATGTAATTAAATCTTTTAAATTGTTGAGTTACAAAATTGTAAAAAAAAACCCGCTAAAGCTCAAATAAAGTACAGAATGCTATAGTGAGTTTTATTCATCTAAATATATTGACGAAATTCATAACTGTATAATGAGTTTGTAAGCACCATTATAATTGTAAAGAACAGAGTGTAAGCACCATTATAAGTGTATACTCAAATATTTTGGAATCATGCATCACATTGATTAAAAATCATTAATTATCTTATTTGTCAAGAACAGAGTGTAAGCACAAGCACAAGTATAATTGTATTCTCAAATCTTTGGAAGCATGCATCATACTGTTTCTAAATCATAAAAATCAAATTCATAAAATTCATTCGTACTGAGTTATATTAAGCAAGGAAATTATAAATATATTTAATTCAATTTTAACAAACACTCAATGAATTTTCTTGAACTATCAGGCTGTAGAGGAAATTGTTTAAGAATTCAATCAGATACTATTACTGAGTCTTAAATTTCTAGGCTAAGCAAGGAAAAGTATAAATAAATAAATTTAATTTAATTGAACAATCACTCAATGAAAAAAAATAATTCCCTAAGCAATTGTTCCGAACTCAAAGTAGGATGAAAATATTTATAACCTGAAGAAGAATTTCGCTCTGTATAGGTGGGGTTGACCTTAGTTCTCTTTCTTTTTAGGCGGAAGAGAATGGAAATCTGTAAATGGTTGGAAGCGGAGGAACTGCAAAGTGCTTGTGGGGAAGTTGAGCGACGTGGTCATCTTGTGCGGGGGAACATCAGCGACGTGGCAAACTGGAGCGACGTGTGTGAAGTTCTCGCAACGTGGAATGAAAGAATGATTTACGTTTACAATGGACGGATGTGAGAGATTTAATTAATAATGGACGGTTATCATTATAAACACCAGCGATAACCATTTTTTCTATGGTTAATTGCGTTATCAATGGACGGTTGTGGTTTTCTGTGGTTAATTGCGTTATGAATGGACGGATGCAGTTAAATGATCAGAAAATACGTGGATATTAAAAAAATTTACTGTTCACACAAAGATTTTCCTTTAGTTATAAAGGAAAGTAGATTATAAAGAAAAGTAGATAACAATTAATAATATTAATGCTATTTAATAAACAAATATTAGGGGCTGTTTGTTTGCCTAAAAAAGAGGGAAATCAAAGAAATGGAAAACTATTTCTAAGAAAAATTATTTTGGGAATGTTTGGTTGGCTAAAAAAAGAAGGAAATCAAAGAAATGGAGATGAGATGATTTTAGTTGTCACCTTATTATAGGATGATGTGAGTGATTTTTTAAAAAAACTTGTTTTGATGTTGTTTGGTTGGCAAAAAAATAAGGAAATGAATTATAAGAAACCTATTTCTTGTAATAGGTTATTTTCTTTTGTTTGGTTCATTCTTAAAAATAAGAAAATAGGTGAAATGAGATGAGTTGTCATTCATTATATTATTAGATGATGTAACCCACACTTAAGAAAATCGTTTTCCTAGCTTTTGAGAGGAAATGAGTGGAAATAAAATGTTAATGAGATGAGATGAGTTGTCACCATCTTATTGGATGATGTAAGTAATTTGAAATGATGAAGATGAGATGAGTTGAGTGATGTTGTGGATGAAAATAATATTTTATTAGATGTGGTGGATGAGTTGTTGGATGAAAATAATATTTTATTAGATGTGGTGGATGAGTTGTTGGATGAAAATAATATTTTATTAGATGTGGTGGATGAGTTGTTGGATAAAAATAATATTTTATTAGATGTTGTGGATGCGTTGTTGGATGAAAATAATATTTTATTGGATATTGTGGGTGAATTTTAGGAATGGAAATGGATGAAATTGTACTTTTTAAGATTTCCATTTCTTGGTTTTTAGGAAATCAACCAAACAGATCCTTACAGGAAAAGGGCAAAATAGGGAGAAAAGGGACAAAATATGGGATACAATTAGAATTGTGAAATTTGTAAAGGGCAAAATAGGTATGCAAAAGTTTTGACATTTGTTTTTTCTTTTAGAAGTAGTATAAATATAGATATAGATGATGAATCCGAGTTTATAGTAAAGAAATATGGGTGGAAATGAACCAAATAATTAATAAATGGTTCGATAATTGTTCGAATAACTATTCAGTTATATTCGATTCGGTAGTTCATTTGTCACTAAATAAATATTTTTTAGTATTCGAGTTTATTAACGAATATAATTTAACCATATGTATATTCGATTCGTTTGTCTATTAAATATTCGTTTAAAATTTGATCACAACTTATAATTTGTATTATTGCATATATGATATCATATTTTTAACCCACTTATCATTTCTACTTAAGTTTTATATATTGCTTTTAAGACTTAAATAATCTTAAATCTGTTTTCTAATTAAAATTTTGATTTAAATATATATACATCATATATTATAAATAAATAATTTTTTATTTATGAATTTTAATACTATTTGAAAATCAAACTCTTTAGTGAAATAAATATACTTTGATATTCGATAAGTATTCGTAAAAATTCATGAATATTTATAAAATACCAAGTATTCGAGTTCGAAAAACTAGATATATGAATATTAGAGTCCGCATTCGAATTCGATAATTTTAAATAAATACAAATATGAACACCTTAGTATTCGATTCGATTCGATCATATACCACCCCTATAAAGAAATAAACTAAAAAACGTGATGTTTAAGTAACGTACATCTAAATAGTGATAATAAAACCCTTTCCTTATTGGAAAACCGAAAACGCGAGCAGGGCCGGGATCGAACCCGACCCGATAAGCGGCATAGTAAACAACCTGGAGATCAGCCTCTAAACCGAGAAGTCGTATTTGCCCTCTGATTTCATAGGCTTGCTGTCGTCGTCAGGGAAGCGATCCCAATTGCCTTCAAACCCTAATTTCGAGAATTTCTCCATCGAATCGCTCACGGGTAACATCTCTCTTATTCCTCCAAAATTTTGTTTATATCTTTTAGTAATTTTCTAGATCAAGCTTATGAATGAAATAATCATGTGCGTGTGTACTTAATTTGCTCCTAAAATTTTAATAGATAGAATTTTAATCGAAAATTATGAAGTAAGGGGATTTTATTTCGAAGGGTGAAAGTTGCTTTCCCGAACTTTTTTCCTGCAAGAGGAAAAAAGCAAAGGGGGGGGGGGGGAAAAAAAAAGAAAAAGACGAGCACCAAATTTTGGGAACACTAGGCATGACAAAGGGAAAAAAAACTCTTACTTTGAAGACATATGTTTTGCCGTTCAATTCTTGAACACATTTATAACACCAAGAAACCCATCAATTTGTTTTGTTTTATTTGAGGCAAATCAAAGATGACACCTGCTCGAACCTTTTGCACTGACTTTTGTTTTAAATAATAGTTATTATGAGTGTTGCTAAAGTTAGTTGACGATCTTTGCGTCAAAATATAATTGATTTTTTTACTGTTTATCATCATTGTTGCATAACTGGCACTGTCATCATTCTCTCATCGTCACCATTTTCTTCTATTCCTTTCTCCATGAGAAATAGGTCTTCTTGGAACACCGCCTCAAGTTGCTGATCGTGGACACGATTGGCCAAGCATGTTTTGTGGTTGGTTTATCAAGCTAGTATCGACTCTAAATCCGGTGCGAATTTCTTAAAACGTCGTGGGCCACATAGGGGTTTGATAGTGTTAGGTTGGGGTGGATACCAACCTCCGCCGGCTGAGGAGCTCCGGCGAGCTCCAGGAAGACGCAGACGAACTCGAGCAGTTGAGCTCGATTGGCGAACGCGACCCTCGACAGAGCAAACGCGACCCTCGGTGTTTCAAGCTCCGACCCTCGCGTCCACGATGCCGACCCTCGCGTCCGTGACTCCGACGTCCGCGTCTGGCGACTTCGACCTCAGCGTCGAGCGTGGACGCTCGCGTGGCTGGCGACAGGCTGTCGCCAGCCTGTCGTGATCCCCTATAAAACCCCCCTCGAGGCCCTAGGGTTTGGGTTGCTCCTCTTCCCCGATTTTCTCTGGCGGCGGAAAACCCCCAAACGCAACAGCATTCCCTCTCTTAATGGCTGGCGACAGGCTGTCGCCAGCCTGTCGTGATCCCCTATAAAACCCCCCTCGAGGCCCTAGGGTTTGGGTTGCTCCTCTTCCCCGATTTTCTCTGGCGGCGGAAAACCCCCAAACGCAACAGCATTCCCTCTCTTAAAATCGCAGCAGCGATTTTCTAATTAACCCCAGCCTTTCAACAGTGATTGAAGAGGGATTTAAGAAGAGAGAGAGAAAAGAGAAAGGGGTTTTTTTATTGTGGTTATTAACACTGTAGCTACAGTGTTTATTTGAGGAATCTCAGTTTAGAGATTTGCTCTTAATTTGTAATTTCTTGTTAGATTAAATAAGAAATTAACTGTGTGGCTCCCGAGGACGTAGGCAGTTGCCGAACCTCGTAAATCTTGTGTACTGTTCTCTATTCTGCGTTTTTTGTTGCATTAGGGATTTCAGCGTTAAATTCCCAACAACTGGTATCAGAGCTCAACGATCTAGAGGAAGTCAGATTCAAGTGGGAGCCATGGCCGCAGATGAGGGAAAGGTGAGAATAGAGAAGTTTGATGGATCAGATTTCGGATTCTGGAAAATGCAGATAGAGGATTATCTGTATCAGAAAAATCTGTATCAACCTCTCTCGGGGAAGAAGCCGGAGGGTATGAAGGAAGAAGATTGGAATCTTCTAGACAGAAAAGCCCTCGGAGTTATCAGATTGACATTAACTCGCAATGTTGCGTTCAACATAGCGAAGGAGAAGACCACGGCGGGTCTTATGGCAGCACTCTCAAATATGTATGAGAAGTCATCAGCCTCAAATAAAGTCCATTTGATGAGGCGGTTGTTCAATCTGCGAATGGCGGAAGGTGCATCGGTAGCACATCATCTCAATGAACTCAATACAGTCACGACCCAATTGAGTTCAGTTGATATTGAGTTTGATGAGGAAGTTCGAGCGTTGATCCTTTTGTCTTCCCTACCAGAGAGTTGGAACGCTACGGTCACAGCTGTGAGTAGCTCGTCGGGAAAGAGAAAGTTGAAGTTTGACGACGTTCGTGATCTGGTTCTCAGTGAGGAGATCCGACGGAGAGAGTCGGGTGAAGCTACAACCTCTTCAGTATTGCATACAGAGTCAAGAGGTAGAAGTTCAACCAGAGGAAATGGATCAGATGATAGGAGATCCAAATCTGAAAATCCCAACAGTTCGAAGGCTATCGAGTGTTGGAAGTGCGGGAAAATCGGGCACTACAAGAATCAGTGCAGGAGTGCACGGGAGGAGTGGGAGGCAAATGCAGATGTGAACGTTGCGGAGTGCACGGGAGGAGTGGGAGGCAAATGCAGATGTGAACGTTGCCTCCACCTCAGGAGGAGATGATGCGCTGATATGCTCTTTGGAGAGCAAGGAGGAGTCTTGGGTGTTGGACTCGGGAGCATCATTCCATGCTACTTCTCAGAAAAAATTCCTCGAGAAGTATATCCCCGGAAATCTTGGAAATGTATATCTTGGTGACGATCAAGCATGTGCCATTATTGGCAAAGGTGTAGTGAAGATTAAGCTGAATGGGTCAGTATGGGAGCTGAAGGATGTCAGGTATATTCCCGACCTGAAGAGGAACCTAATCTCAGTAAGCCAGCTGGCTAGTGAAGGCTACACGAAGACTTTCCATGGGAGGTAGGAAGACTGGTACCCTGTATATGACAGCAGGTGCACGTTGTTCGATCTCAGTTGCGGCAGACAATGAGACTTCAAAGCTGTGGCACCAGAGACTCGGTCATATGAGTGAAAAGGGGATGAAGGTTATGCACACAAAGAGAAAACTCCCAGGTTTACAATCAGTAGAGATTGATGTGGGTAAAGAATGCATACTTGGAAAGCAGAAGAGAGTTAGCTTTCAGACAAGTTGCAGACCCCCCAGGAAGCAGAAGCTAGAGCTTGTTCACTCAGATGTTTGGGGACCAACAACCACCGCGTCGATTGGTGGGAAACACTACTTCGTGACTTTTATTGATGATCACTCTCGGAAAGTATGGGTCTACTTTCTGAAGAAAAAGTCAGAAGTGTTTGAGGCTTTCAGAAGATGGAAAGCCATGGTCGAGAATGAGACCGGTTTGAGGGTAAAGAAACTCAGAACAGACAATGGTGGTGAGTATGAAGACACCAGATTCAAGAAGTTCTGCTATGAGCACGGTATCAGAATGGAGAGGACCGTGCCCGGCACGCCTCAGCAAAATGGTGTTGCTGAGCGGATGAACCGAACGTTGATAGAGAGAGCCAGAAGCATTCGAGTACAGTCAGGCCTACCGAAGCAGTTCTGGGCAGAAGCGGTCAACACAGCAGCTTACTTGATCAACCGAGGTCCATCGGTTCCATTGGAGCACAGAATACCAGAAGAGGTATGGTGCGGAAAGGAGGTAACCCTCTCACATCTCAAAGTTTTCGGTTGTGTAGCTTATCTGCAAATAAGTGATCAAGGAAGGAATGAGCCTGATGCCAAGTCTAAGAAATGCACATTCATCGGGTATGGTGAAGACGAGTTCGGCTACCGCATTTGGGACAACGAAAACAAGAAGGTGATCAGGTGCAGAGATGTGACATTCAACGAGAAAGTGATGTACAAGGACTTGCACAAGACAGATGACGGTGACTCAGAGAGCGAGTCAACATTTATAGATGCAGATGATGTCCCAGATAACCTCTCGGAAGAACCCAATGCAGAAGGTCCTCAGCCAGAAGAGCCTGTTGGACAGAACGGTGCGCAGGAGCCCGACGCACCAGCTCCGATATTAAGAAGATCTTCTCGTCCTCCTGTACCCAACAGGAGATACATGAACTATCTGTTGTTGACAGATGGTGGGGAGCCTGAAAGCTTTGATGAAGCTTGTCAGTGTGGAGATGCGAGCAAGTGGGAGCTTGCAATGAAAGATGAGATGAAGTCTCTCATATCAAACCAGACGTGGGAACTAGCTGAGTTGCCCACGGGTAAGAAAGCACTCCACAACAAATGGGTGTACCGGGTGAAAGAGGAGCAGGATGGTTCCAGGAGATATAAAGCCCGATTGGTTGTCAAAGGTTTCCAGCAGAAGGAAGGAATTGACTACACCGATATTTTCGCTCCCGTGGTGAAGCTAAATACTATCAGGACCGTGATGAGTATTGTAGCAATTGAAGATCTTCATCTCGAGCAGTTAGACGTGAAGACGGCGTTTCTTCACGGAGATCTAGAAGAGGAGATATACATGCACCAGCCAGAAGGTTTCTCAGAAGAAAAGAAGAAAAAGAACCTGGTGTGCAGACTCAAGAAGTGGCTGGCGACAGGCTGTCGCCAGCCTGTCGTGATCCCCTATAAAACCCCCCTCGAGGCCCTAGGGTTTGGGTTGCTCCTCTTCCCCGATTTTCTCTGGCGGCGGAAAACCCCCAAACGCAGCAGCGTTCCCTCTCTTAAAATCGCAGCAGCGATTTTCTAATTAACCCCAGCCTTTCAACAGTGATTGAAGGGGGATTTAAGAAGAGAGAGAGAAAAGAGAAAGGGGTTTTTTTATTGTGGTTATTAACACTGTAGCTACAGTGTTTGTTTGAGGAATCTCAGTTTAGAGATTTGCTCTTAATTTGTAATTTCTTGTTAGATTAAATAAGAAATTAACTGTGTGGCTCCCGAGGACGTAGGCAGTTGCCGAACCTCGTAAATCTTGTGTACTGTTCTCTATTCTGCGTTTTTCGTTGCATTAGGGATTTCAGCGTTAAATTCCCAACAGATAGAACTAGTATTTTGGAGTATTAATTTTCTAAATTAAATAAATTAGCCTAAACAAGTTAGCTGTAAGACTATTGTCACAAATTATGTATTCAAAGATGGCCCTAGGGCAAGGCTGAAAGAGGACTCGACATTTTGCTTGTGAACAATGAAATTGCTTACTGCCTTTCTGTTTCTGCAATACAACCATCACTTCAATAATTACATCTGTTTTTAAGCATTTTTTTTTTCATATATTGCAGGGAAAATGACTGAGGTAGTAACTGATGCTAATGCTGGAAATAGACGACGTTTACCATCATGGATGCTGCAGGTAAAATCTGGTGCTGAACAAAGAAAATCTGCAGGTAAAGATGCAAAATGTTCTCGACCAGAAGAAGAGACCAAGAGTCAAGCAGCTCGGTCTAAGATAAAACCTGATCAAAAGATTCAATACCCTAACTCAGGAGTCTCCACAGCAATCAGATAGCTTGCAAGGGCGTGAGGCAAGGCGAAGAACCAAAAAAAAACAACAAGAAAAGATGATGGTCCCTCCACTTCTTTAACGGTTCGTAGTGGGGCTAAGAGAAAAATCAAGAGGAAGATCCTTGAAACATCAGTAAATGAAAGTACTGCTGCTACAAAGAAGCATGTAAAGAGTAAAAGGCTCAAAAATAACGAGTTGGAAGTAGTATCCCCAGGAAGGAGCGACAAAGAAATATCATTGACAGCTGAAGATCTTCTCACCATTGCAGAAGAGGTATTCTCCAATATAATTTCCGTCTTTGTCAATGCCTTGTTATATAATTGGAATTCTTTCACTATACGGTGTCAACTAAAGTCATAAGTAATCCTATGACATTCCAAATGCAGTCCGTTGACTTGAGGCATGTGCTGCTTTCTATGGTCTAATAAACAAAGCTTATTGGTTATCCTATAGTCTTATTTATTTGAAATACTTACCCCCTGTCCTCTGGGGATTGCATATAATTGCTCCTAATACTTATTTGTAACATTCTGTTTCTATCAAAGTTTGCTTTTCTGGAGATGATGTTGATGTTAATTATGATTTAATTGCAGTATGTCGTTGCTGGTAAGGAACAACAAAATGAACTACTAGCTTCAAGAGAGTGCACATCAGAAACAAATCCTTCAAACCTGTCAATTTCGTCGAAGGCTATTAAGGGCGGAGCTCTCCAAGCTGGTGAATCCAGTCACATATTATCCAGATGCACAAGTACCAATCATAGTTCTCGTCTAAGTGAGAATGAAGAGAAGGAAAGAGAGAACCGCAAAAGTGGAAATTTCTCTGGTAACATTATAAGCACAGGAGACAGTGCTCAATATATGGTGAATCTCTATCTAGGTCCTTTTATGATGAAATCCCCATGCAAGGAGCAGAGTATTCAGAAAATTGAACCAAAAAGATTGGTGTCAGCTCAGACAATCGAATCAAAGAGATGGACGTCAGCTCAGACAATTGACTCAAACGGATTGCCATCAATTCAGGAAATTGAAGCAAAAGAATTGCCCTCAATTTGGGCAATTGAATCAAAAGCATTACCATCAATCTATGAATTAAACAAACAGCTCACAAGCCATGAATTTTCGAAAGAAGAGGCACCCTTGATGAAGAAGAAGAGCAGTCTCAAGGACAAGGTGGCTATGTTCTTTGACCAGTCAGATAAATTTTGAGGAGAATGACATACTAATTAATTAACCAGATCAAAAGGAAGAGGTAACTGTATTATGTATATTTTTTTTGACTAATGTTACGGGCAATACATGTTCATCATTCTTCTTGTAAATATACATATTCCTTTTAATTTAATTTGAGTTGTTATAAGGTCTTCTCGAGTATGACATAGATTTCAACATGACATAGTAATCTGATCTTGCAATTTGGACTCCGTGATATTTAATTTAGGTTGATTAGAATAATGAGTTTGATGTGACTTATTAGGTATTGAACAAGACATCTCCATCTATATTCTTGTTATTTAAGCAACTTGTACTTAATTTCACCAATGATAGTGTTCTGTTAAATGGAAAATGGATTCATGTTCGTTATTTGTTTAATGAGAATATAACTTCTAAAAAAATGTTATGCAGATTTAGTAAGAGTAGGAAGTGCCTATTCGATGTGTTTTGTCACATTGAAAGCAGAAACTCTCCACCTAAATATGAAGATATGCAGGAGTCCGTCAGAATCTTTAATTCCAGAGAAATACATCAGGCAGAGGCAAAAGATCAATTTTTCTAACAAGTCAGCATGTCATTTAGTATGTCATTTTCTAGTACAATTTTAACATTTTGATTTATAGAAGAATGTTGATTGAAAACTCATTTTCTAGTACAAGTTCAACATTTTTGATTTATTACGCGAATCTAGTTGTAACCCATCTATAATCCTTTTGGTCATTCAGTTTAGCAAATTACTTCATAGTAGGTTGGTGAGGAGCTGGTTTAGGCTGATGTCTATCTTTCTCTCCCTTTTTTTTTTTAACTTCAGTGGACATTAACCCTATTGTCCATGGAAAGAGCTATGAATTTTGGCAATAGTAATACTTTCGAGGATATATTGATCTTGCTTGAGTTGAAGATTTTATAGAGGTCATGCTATTCTAGTTACCCTGCCTTGTTAGTCCACCTGGTAGAATGGTAGGATATTGAGAGGGTTAAATTGTAGGATTTATCTGTTTTAACTGTCTAAATTGGAAACAACAGAGGTGGCTGTGATTAAATATGAAATGATATAGTGATCACTTGGATTGAAAGATAAATTTCCAACATGATTTTGATAGTAAAGAGCTCAAGTCCTTGAGTAAAGGGTTGAATATTTAACTCAGAAAGGAGCAAATTATAAAACAGAAGGGGAAGGAAAGAAGGAAAAAAGATACCGAGTTTGTTGACATCTGTAGGAAATACCGCTATCATGCTACTTTCTCCCATTTTATAATCTTCCCAAATTGTAGTGCAATCTTTTGCATAGGGATACCGCTATCATGCTACTTTCTCCCATTTTATAATCTTCCCAAATTGTAGTGCAATCTTTTGCATAGGGATCAATAAATTTATTCATATCCTTAAATTTTATAATCTTCCCAAATTGTAGTGCAATCTTTTGCATAGGGATCAATAAATTTATTCATATCCTTAAATCGATGACCTCAATTTAAGTTCTGCCAGAATCCCGATCAAACATGCAAATCATTTATTAAAAATCTTTTAACTGATGTGAGAAGCACACATTGGTATATAACCTTAAATTGGCAATCTAAAATTAAACATTCTGCCATAGGAATCTTTTATTAAAATCAGTTAACTAATGTGAGAAACACACATTGTTACATACACATACAACCAATAACTAGAAAGAATCATTTAACTGGACAGGAATACTCTCTTGTTTCATACTAATGAATGCAAATCTGTGAACAAAAGGGTAAATTGCACTTAAATGCCTGTAGTTTCACCAACCTTGCACTTTAATGCCCCCTATTTTAAAATCGTGCACTTAAATGCCCCAAAGTATTTAAGTGTTTCAGATAAATGCCCTAAAGTTAAAAACAACAAACAGCGTTTAACTTTTCTCTACGTACCCAAGAATATCAAACTGAACGTATAAAAGTACAACTTTTAGAAATTTAGGCTGTTTAAGTGAGGACATTTACAAACTGAGGGTATTTATATGCAACATTGAGTAAACAATGGGGCACCAATGTGTAACATCGGGTAACAAAAGGCACCAACGTGCAAACACATTGAAACATTGGGGCATTGATCTGCAACACTTTGCGGAATTTAAGTGTATAGGTTTAATATAGGGGGCATTAAAGTCCAAGGTTGATGAAACTATAGGGCATTGAAGTGCAATTTAGCCTAAACAAAAAGAATGAATGCAACTTTTCATTATTTTTTTCTTCCGGTACTTTTTCATAGTGGTACTGCCTTTTCCTAATCACATGCTGGCTGAGGGATAATGAAATGTCTTGCAAGATCAAGATGTAGAAGAGAGCTTTAGCAGAAAACTTGAAAGACCAACTTTGTATCCTTTTTTCTTGACATCATCCTGCACCTGCTTCCTAAAATCTCCAAAAATGAAGCTCCTGTAGGGAGTAACCTTTTGCAGCTCCCTGTCATGGAGTCATATGATGGACACAAGAAATAGGCAATGGAATATCTCTACACCTTCTCATTAGCCATCACCTTGTGCATGACACTTCTGTAGATGTCATTACTCCAAGCCTGATATACATCCCACCAAAACCTAGACTTGTCACTTTGAAGCTAACAATTAAGAGAAACGAAACCAAATTTAGGACTTAATCATGTGAAGTGGTAACTTGACTCAGTGCAGCGTAGCAATCCTCGACATGCGTTGACTTGACTTCTTATGCCATGCATAGGAAATTAGCAATTAGAAAGGACTCATGTGGTTGGAAGGAGTTAGCCAAATAAGTTATTTAAAGAGCTTATGTATATCTTAATACATAGGACTATACAAGGTAGACTTCATAATTATTTTTGTAATCACCTGGAAGAGGTCTCCCATGTTGATGATAAGAGCATCTGGATTCGGTTTTACAGCAATCCATCTGGAATCCTTTATTAACTGTAGTCCACCAACCTGATCCTAATACAGGATGATGAGGAAGTCACTATCAGTGTGAGGACATCAATCCAAAGGTCTTTGGTGAGAAGAGGCATGGCGGATATCGATTTAGCCAAAGGAAGCATGTTTCCCTGGTGCAATTTCAGGAAAACACTGCCCGTTGTATCCCAAAACTTCAGCTAGAATGCTGGCAATGGTGCTAGCAAGCTCTGAAAGTGAGCATGCAGGTTTCTTCATCACCTCCCTCCCAATGTCAGTGGTCATTACCTTTGATATTCTTAACTACCTGTCTAAACTGGGTTAGTAAAATGAAAATTTCCAGTAAGTTTGAAAACATCATAGAGGGCATATAGGAGAAGACTTCTTTTTTAATGTACATAGTAGAAATGTACCTTAGACTTCTTCACTCTCCTGTCTCCATAGTAGCGACCCTCTGAAATATTAGCAAGAGGAACATGAAAGGCTTCTGACCATGAGAACTGTTGCACACTTTGGGCACCTGGAGTTCCCCATATATAAGAGTCATTCAAGATCCTAGAAGTTACCTTCTTTTCGAAAGGCATCTCAAACTATTTCCTCTGTGCTTTTCTCATCTCTTCCTGTTGTTCAGAACTGATGCCGTGGTTGAGTACCTGGAAGAAACCCCATTCTCAATAAGCCTTTCCGATGGACTCCATACAAGCCTGCTTCTCCTTTTCATCATCACTCCTCAGGCCTCCAAGGTCTATTAATGGCAGCTCACATTCTTCTATGTTTTCAGTAACTTCATCATCACTCCTCAGGCCTCCAAGGTCTATTAATGGCAGCTCACATTCTTCTATGTTTTCAGTAACTTTGTAGCATGAGCACTTCTGTGATTTAACAGAGTTGCGAAATATTGCTCTATAGTGTTTTAAAATAAGCAAGGTGGATTACTCATTGTCTGAAGCTATCATGGCTCTTATGGTGAGTGTGTTCAACTTCAATGGAAAGAATTAGTGTAAATGGAGGGTTGAGGAGTTTCAATATACGAGTATTGTACTTGTTTATATCGTGACGCATGACAGGATTTAGGGGAAGCTGATAGGGAGGCTTCTGCAATCATGCCACTTGGCTGAACAGGAGCTTTTGTTGAGATGGTGTATGGGAACCAGTTCAATAGAGATATGATATTTGTATATTAATATAATTGGAAACCAAGGTGAGACCCAGGACAGATCTAACCTATTATTTCTTTTCTGATTGTTAAAAACTCAAATTGTTTTCTAGTGTTTGTGAAGGTAAGAAGTCGTATGGTGCAGACTCCAGACAATTAGAAATGGTATTGGTTCTATGATTTGGTCTAAATTAGTAACTTTATATGCAGTTTGCTTGGATATAACTTTGTATAATAGTGTTTCACGGAGCACCTTTCATCACATATTTAGTTGACCGCATGAGTTCAAAGGCATGTAGAGTACTTAACCTTTGTTAACCCTGCAAGTTATATTTTCTGTTTCAGCAGAGCATGTCTGTGGTGGGCAGCTGTTTGGCTCCTTTAGGTATATGTCTTCAAGGAGACATTTTTATAGAGAGGACGTCCATAAAGAGACACTATCCTATGCATCCCAAATTGTTTTTAGCTCGATTTTTTGGATTTTGGTATCAAACTAGATGGCTTCCCACGCTTGGATGCTTTCTATGGTAGTTACTGCATCATCATGTATCCTCGATGATGAACTAGTGCATATTAGATTAAGAATGTTATGATTTCCTATGAGACAGACCTAATTAATTAATACAAGGAAGTTATGTGAGACTAACCTCCACTGTTGGGGAAGTTGAAATTTTAGGCTATTACTTTTGGAAATGGATCATGTGGTAGGTAAGTTTGTTGCATCGAGTCGTCCCACTATTGAGTAGGTTAGTGGGTCTTGCTCTTCTTTAATGAGGATTATTACGTGAAACTGTAGTCACAATACCTTTTGATTGGACAAAGATATTGTCACGCTGTCTTGGCTTGGATGATTTTTAAGTTTGCAATGAAGTATGTGGACTATCACTCATTGAACACCTCGGGTTTAATGTTTAACTTGTGCTCAATTCCTGCAGCACTTTTGCGCTGGTCTGAGGATTTTCTTGTCTCAACCAAAATTTCCATCTGAGCAATTAAGACTTGCTTGTAAGAATATATGTGGTGGTTGATTGATATGAACATGATGGGCGTTTGATTGTTGATTGTGTATTTTTAATGAACCTCAACGATAAGGTCCCCCCACCCCCACCCCCCCAAATGTTATTCCGGAGATCACTTTATTACTCGTTTTCTACTTATTTTATTGTAGAAATTCATATAATCCAGAAAAAGGACTTTGCTCGTTTATATTGTTGTAAAAACTGTCATGTGGAAGCAGTATTTGCAGCTAATCAATGCTCTGTTAGGTTCCATAACTGAGGCCTATCAAGACCTGAAACAAGCAACAATAGTTATTTGTAGAGCTGGGCCAGAACTAACTGAGCATGGCCTATAGTTGAAAGTATACTTTTTTTAGAATGGTTCATTGATAAATAGTTTGAAAAAATGCCCACTACATGCTTGTTTATTGTTAAGCTGTCGTTTATGGTTTAATCCCAATCTAAGAATAGGTAAGCATGTCTGTTTATTAACTCTCACTTACACTAGTTGTCACTTGCTGCTTGTGGTTGGATCTTCATCAGATAATGTGGCATCCACATGTTGCTTATGCATGGTAGAGCCCTTTTTAAGGGGCTAAAGTGCAGGCCACCCTTAATCACTTCCTTAGTTTAATTGGCAACTGATTGGTATTCATTTTCTTTATTTTGTGGAATAAGTGATCCATCAAATGAAATATTGACAGAAAGACAGCCTTCCTTATTGTTAAAGATTTTCCTTCCTGTTTTTCCATTATAATTTCTTACTTGATATCTGTTGATGCAGTACTATGCTTCTTATATCTCCTTAAGATACTAAGTCGAGGCCCCAACAAGCGAATTGGTATGTTCTGCAGATGGGACAAACAAATTATCTCTGTCATTCCTTAGTTATTATTTTATTACGAAGTTTCCCTGCAGTTATTTATGATAATAGCAAGTGTAGGAAGTAGTGTAAATAATAACATTTATTTACCTGCAGGTCCATGCTTTACCTGAAGTCCCTGATGTAGAGAATTATACATGTTTGCCATCCAAATGCATTCTCTGTTCCTTTGTTGATTTCTTTTTGCGCTCTCCGTCAACATATTTTGTGCTCTAACTAGAATATTGTACTAACCTCGCATCCACCCAAAAGAAAAAAAGAACGTTAGTTGTCTGTTAATAAAGATCCATTGTGGTTTATTATTATTTTATTAAGTGTTTCATGATGTTCTGAAACTCTCTAGTTCTCATATAACTATTTGTCCATTAAAGGAAGAGATATGATACAGTTCAGTTATTTTTGGGTTCTTTCTTCTCATATAACTATTTGTCCATTAAAGGAAGAGATATGATACAGTTCAGTTATTTTTGGGTTCTTTCTTCGTAGCGGGTGCTTTTTAAGTCTTAAATTTCTGTTAAAAAATTCTGAGCAACCAAGGGACATGCACTAAGGGGAAAGAGACTGACGTACTACTTGTTCTCAACACTAGGACAAATTCTTGTGCAAATTTAGGGAAGTGTTTTGCTCTAAAGAACAGCAGTTCGAATATATCTATCTGAATTAGATGCTGCTTTTTAATCATAATATTACATTAACCCTTCACCAAATTGTTGGAATCTTGAGGAACTAAGGCTATGCTGACACTGTACACCCTCTGCAATCCAGGTCCGTGAGCCTTAACTTTCCGCAAAGCCATAATCGATCATCGGAAGATCATGCTCTCTGCTAAAAGTTTTATGTTCTATTAGAGTTTCGTCGGCATTAATAACATAACATCTTGGGACAGTTAGTCGGTTTTACTTTGTGGATGCCTAATTTCTTCTGATTTTTCTTGCTCCTGCAAGGAAACAAACAGGCCCCAAAATTTTCTTGCCCTTGTAAGGGACCAAACAGCTCCTCAACCAAGAAGGACTGAACTTTTGGCGGAAGGTGGCTTTGTAAAGTTTGGAAAAGGGAAGTCTCGAGTTTTGAGGATTGAAACTAGAACAACCTGTTTTATTTCTGTGTTACAAAGAGTAATAATTGTCCAGGGTTAAATGAAATAAATGTGAAAAGAAGCTGGAAACAATGATCATCAGTAATCTGTGCTAAAGAAATTTCTTTTATTTGGATTTCATGAACTAGTTCATATCGGTTATTCAGGATCCAACATCATTGATAACATAGAATGACTTATAAGTTATTAACCCTATTAAATAACACTGAACATCTTCTCAGCTCAGTACATGTTACAATAACAAGAAATTTGAAAGCCAAATATGAGTAGGAACTTAGAGGAAATAGGAAAATACGTGTCTAAGGAAAAAGGCAGATTCTGGACTAAATTGTGCTTACTGTCAAGGATCTAGTGAATCCAGTGGATGGCGAATCCAATAATGAGAATATAGCTGTTCTGTGGTTGATCCATGAGTTAGTGATGTGATCCAAGCCAAAAGACACTATAACCAATCTATTGACCAATTTATTGAAAGAGGAATATGTCGCACCTGTTCAAAGAATTTCCAGCACTATTTAAGTATCGGAGAATTATTTTTTTCCCCTGAACTTATCGTGTTCAATGTTATTTGATCATAGTTGCTTTGATGATGAGCAATCAAACAAGCTGGAAGGCTATTTTTATGCAAATGATGTGAAGGGGCAAGGTTACTAGTATCTTCACAACAATGGTTTGTTTCTGTTACTAGATTTGAAATCATTACAGTTGCTCTACTTTTTTCCCAAAAAAAAAAAAGCTCAAGTTTCTAAATTCTTCGTAAGATAATTTCAAACTTGACTAACATCATGATGTCCAATATGTGCATTTGTCGTACTATTTCAAAACCTCATGATAGCTACTCTTTGTCATCTCCTTTTTAACGGTATCACTCTATGAAACCAGGTATCTGATGGGCATGGAATCAAGAAAAAACAAGATAAGAGAGGACTGAGTCACGTCAATGCCTTCAAGGCTTCTTTTGACAAAGAAAGAAAAATTAACTGATGTTATATAGGGATGAGAGAGCTGCCACCTTCCAAATTTCAGTTCAAACAAGAAGGCTGAAGTACCCATTCATGGAGAGGATGGATCGCGAATCAAAAAGAAGACTTTGGCAGCCATACTGACAGTAAGATTCTAGTACAAAAAACTTATAGATGCGTTAAGAGATGACTTCCTACATCTATTTCCTCTTCACTTACACATAAATTGAACAGATAAATAATACCAGATGCCTCTTGCTAATTGATGAAAAACGAAGCTGAAAAAGTGCACAATCCAACGAAA